TTGAACAGTACAGCACCTGGCAGCTCTTCCTGGCTCACAGTATTCCTCTGGAGACCATCATTCCCATCCTGCAGCACCTCAAATACAAAGGTGAAGATGATGGACAACACACACACACACACTCACACACACTCAGACACTCACTCAGAGTGAGGACACGTGTCTCCTGTCTGTCCACAGAACATCCTGAAGCCTTGTCCTGTCTACTGCTGCAGCTGCGCAGAGAGAAGTAAAGACACACTCACTGTGCCGCACCGTCAGACACTGACACACGTCCTCACTCACCTCTGTCCCTCGTCTGTCCTCAGACCCTCAGAGGAGATGGTGAAGATGGTCCTGAGTCGTCCCTGTCACCCCGACGACCACTTCACCACCAGCCTCCTCAGACACTGGGCGGCCAAGTACGACGACACGCTGAGCGAACACATCAAAGCTCAGCTGATCAAGAACAACAACCAGCCGCGGAAAAGACAGAGGTGAGGACACGGGTGAGGACAGGGGTGAGGAGGCGGGTGAGGACACACAAACACGTCTCCTTCTGTGTCTCCAGTCTCCGCAGCTCCAGCAGTAAACTGGCTCAGCTGACCCTGGAACAGATCCTGGAGCACATGGACAACCTGAGACTGAGTCTGAGCAACACCAAGAACAACTGTGAGTCGACTGTTGATGAGCCGTCACTGTCACTGACTTACTGCTGACTCATCACTGTGGTTGATGGTTTACTGCTGACTCATCACTGTGGTTGATGGTTTACTGCTGACTCATCACTGTGGTTGATGGTTTACTGCTGACTCATCACTGTGGTTGATGGTTTACTGCTGACTCATCACTGTGGTTGATGGTTTACTGCTGACTCATCACTGTGGTTGATGGTTTACTGCTGACTCATCACTGTGGTTGATGGTTTACTGCTGACTCATCACTGTGGTTGATGGTTTACTGCTGACTCATCACTGTGGTTGATGGTTTACTGCTGACTCATCACTGTGGTTGATGGTTTACTGCTGACTCATTCACCACTCTTATCGATCATTTATTGCTGACTCATCCCTGTCTCAGTCTTCGCTCAGACTCCGATCCTCCAGGCTCTGCAGCACGTCCAGGCCAGCTGTGACGAAGCTCACAAGATGAGGTTTGACGTTTTACACAGCTTCATAAAAACTATCGATGACGTCACGTGTCGTAGCCAATCACCAACGCTCACTTCCTGCCTCAGGTTCAGTGACCTGTTTGCTCTGGCAGAAGAGTACGAGGACTCACAGGCCAAGCCTCCAAAGTCTCGGCGTAAAGCTCCAGCCTCCTCGCCTCGCTCCAGGAAAGGACCGGCTCCGCCCACAAACAACGAGGAAGAGAGCGCCTCCAGCAGTGCCTCAGTATGTAGTGCATATTATAGGTGTATAACAAGCCTGAGGCTAGCTAGCCTAGCTAGGTGCCAATACCAAACCGATGCTCTCTGCTTGAGCTAATACTGAACCTGATGTATAAGTTTATGCTAACGTGAATGTTGTTAAAGCTAACGATGAACTTGTTAATCCTGTGTTTTTGTGTCTGGGAACATTTTCTGTCCCGTCCTCCGTGTCTCTTAGTTAAAGGTTGATGATCATTTTTCAGCTAGCTACTTCAGCTAACTGTTGTCGTTATGCTAACGTCTTCATCAACACCTTTCAGGAGGAGGAAGACTCCAAGCCCAAAGCTCCAAAGAGGAAGAGGAAAGGCTCGTCGGCCGTGGGCTCGGACAGTGACTGATGAACCAATCAGCTGCCACGCAGCCCACATCCAGACCAGTGGAACGAGCTCCGCCCACTTCTCTCCTCCTTGAAGGGACGTGCTCCGAGACTGCAGACTTTTTTAAACTTGACCCGATAACCTGTTTTTTTACTCCAGCAGCTGGGTCAAAGGTCAGTGTCAGGCCAAACTCCCATCATGCACTGGGAGACGGAGGGGGAAATAAGCGATGAACTCTTGGAGGAAAAGACTGATTTTAAACCAGCGATAATGGTGACAGTGGCGCCACCCACAGGCTGTGACTCACTTCCTGTTCGTCCTGCTGCAGTAAAAGCTCTTCATCCAATCATGTTGATTAACCTTTTCAGAAAGACTGCTGGCTAATACTGTGGGCGGGGCTAATGATCAGGAGGCGTGGCCTGATGCTGCTTGGACCGTTTCACCTGCTCTTTTTGGGGTTTTTTACCAGTCAGGTTAAAAACCTGGAGAAAATCCTAACAGACTTTTTGAAGTGTTATTTTTCTGTCGCTTTAGTTTTTTCATCAGCTCAACTTTTTGGATTTTTTGATGAAAGAGGAATAAAAACAAACAAACAAACAATTAAAACAGATTTAAAGAAGACGTTCAATATAACCCTGGTCTTTCCTCATGATTTAGATGATCTCACTGCCACTGACCTGCAGAGGGCGCACTGTCTTCTTTACAATGATCACCGTGGAGTGTGTAAAATCTACTCAGACAATGCTGTCTGCACTGAGAGCGCCCCCTGGTGCTAGAACCTACAGCATCGTCACCTTTTATGCAGCTTGAAATAAATGAAATCTGTCGCTCAGAATCAACCTGACAACAGGGGGCGCTCTCTATATATGGTCAGACACAATGATGAAGTATATAAAAGGGCAGCAGTGCAGTATCTGGTTTACTGACTGGTGACGTGACTGTGTGACCTTTGACCTGTGACATCACAGTGTGATGTCATGGTCGATGATGGCTGCAGCTGTTGTTGTTGGCTTTAATCAGCAGCAGGTGGCGATGTGCTCTCATCAGTGCCATGGTCTTCATCTGCAGCTGCTGCTCCGTCAGAACTCCCAGAGTGCTTCACTTCACCCAGGTAGGTGCTGCTCATTCTCAGGTGTCTGCTGGACCCACTGGAGGTCAGCGTCCTGACGTAGCCTGGTGCTAAGCTAGACTGTGTGGTTAGCTAACGTCAGAGGTCCGGCCGGACCGCAGCCCTGCTGGGTCAGTCCGACTGGTCAGGGCTGCTGGTTGGTTCTGTGTGTGTGTGTGTTTTAACACACGTCAGTGGACGTAGACTGGTTCATGGTCTGGTCTTTTCTCCCCTTCAGGAACCATGTCCACCCTAAAATCTGGATCTACTCTCCGGTCTTTGCTTCTGACTCCAGAGAGAATTCCGACCTTTTTCATCCCGAGCCGCAGTCCCCTCCTGACACTGTCCCCTCGGCACAGCTCCCCCGACCGGGTCAGACTCCTGTCAGACCCTGATGACGACGATGACGACGGGCCAGTGACGAGCCCCGTCCCTGCGGCCTCACCTAGGTTCTTGCTCCGTCTCCCACCAAGGATTAGAACTCCTCGCCACTGCTCCAGAGCCGCAGACACGGATGTCACGACCCGGGCGGCCATGTCGCTGCCACATGTGGAGAAGGTGACCACGCCCTACGGTTTCCGGGCCGTTCTGGCCGCGAGCCCCTGCACGCGACGACGGGAGTCGCTGTTTCACAGGAACACAAGGGTGAAAGTGATGGTGACCGAGGCAGAGGAGCAGCAGGAGCAGGAGGAGCAGCAGGAGCAGGAGGAGCAGCAGGAGCAGGAGGAGCAGCAGGAGCAGGAGGAGCAGCAGGAGCAGGAGGAGCAGCAGGAGCAGGAGGAGCAGCAGGAGCAGGAGGAGCAGCAGGAGCAGGAGGAGCAGCAGGAGCAGGAGGAGCAGCAGGAGCAGGAGGAGCAGCAGGAGCAGGAGGAGCAGCAGGAGCAGGAGGAGCAGCAGGAGCAGGAGGAGCAGCAGGAGCAGGAGGAGCAGCAGGAGCAGGAGGAGCAGCAGGAGCAGGAGGAGCAGCAGGAGCAGGAGGAGCAGCAGGAGCAGGAGGAGCAGCAGGAGCAGGAGGAGCAGCAGGAGCAGGAGGAGCAGCAGGAGCAGGAGGAGCAGCAGGAGCAGCAGGAGCCGTCCTCCCCCTCTCCACCTTCTCCTCCTGCTTCAGGTACCGACCCAGTTGCTGGTACTGGTTCCAGCAGGTCCAAAATCAGGAGTCTGGGTCTGCATATGATGAAGGAACTCAAAAAACCTGCAGCTGCTCTGAAAGCTCTAAGTCCCGCCCCTCGCAGGACCGAGGGTCGACGTCACAAGTGACGACACTCGTCACATGTTATGTTTTTATTATTCCGTAGTTTTTGTGTCGTTTTAATCAAAGCTTGAATTAAAATCTCTAACAACTTGACTTGTACAGTGGGTTTTTTTGTTTGAAATGCCAACAGTTAATTAACGGAACGTGTGAGGAGAGGTTTTCTTTAAAAGTAAATATAATTTTAGAATAAAGACATTTACACTTCGCCTTTTATAAAACGGCGTATTAATGTCATCGAATTAAATAAGTAAAATAATGAGATTAAAGTCGAAACGTTTCGAGAAAATAAATTAAATATCTGCTTTTTTTTAGCTTCGTAATAAAATAAAACCGAAGGTTTTTTTTATTTGTGAAGGAGCGGAAGTTGAGACGTCATCACGCAAAGCCGGAAATGATTGGTGACGCTTCTTCCTCTGTGTATGACGCTTGTGGCGGGTAAGTGAGAGAGATTGTTGTGTTGTTGGTACAACGTTAACGTTTGAATAAAGTACCGCAGAGAACCGAACTGGACCAGAACTTAGACCCCGTTCATACATGCTAACGCTAGCTGCTAACGAGTGTTAGAAACCGTGTTTTGTCTTTGAGCAGAGTGAGCAGCTCGGTGTGAACCACAGTCAACTTCCCTCGGACTAGAATCACAGACTCGGTTACAGACAGAAGAAACCGCTGCCACTTCAGACCGGACGTGTGTTCACGGGTTCAGGTGTGGATTAACACCAGTGTGGGACTGAGTTTAACCCGGGATTAACGAGAAGAAAAGGCCACCAGTCAGTGCTGCGGCAGCACCTGTCCACCAGGTGGCGCCATACATCTCTGCAATTGTGATCTTCCGTGGAGAGGCTCGTGATGATTATTGGCTGTCTGTGAACTAAACAATGATGACAGGTGATGACGTCAGTGGTGTCGTGTGACAGGCGATGATTGACTGTTTGGAGGTCATGGTTGTTAACAATGAACCCTGTGCGCAAAAGACTCAAACTCAGTCCCGTCCTGACCCCCGCCCACGCCCCACCCACCTCCACCTCCTCTACCAACGCCCCACGGCTCCTCTCCCAGCATGCTTTGCTACAGCAGGAGGATGAAGAAGAGGAAGACGGTTTCCTACTGGTGGAGGAAGATACGACAGACTCCAGCCTCGTCATCACCATGGGTAAGTCACGTGCACACTCACGTGCACACTCAGGTGTAAAGTAACACAGGTGGGTGAGGTCAGAGTTGGACAGTGTGTGTGTGTGTGTGTGTTAGAGGACAGTCGTCTGCATGTGAGGACAGTGAAGAAGAGAGCAGTGAGGAGGAAACGAAACAAACAGGAGGAAGATGAAGCAGGAGTGGGCGGGGCTTCTGAGAGTGATGAAAAGATGGAGGAGATGGCGATAGACAGACAGCTCGACCAATCACTGGAGACTAAGTCGAAGCAGCACAACCTGACGACGGTGAACGTCAAGAACATCATCCATGTAGGTTCACACACACACACACACACACCTGAACACACACACACCTGAACACATGAAGAAGTGTGTGTGACCTTTAACCCACAGGAAGTGATCACTAATGAACACGTGGTGGCCATGATGAAAGCTGCCATCAACGAGACGGAGGCGGTCCCTGCGTTTGTGAGTCCTTCTCTCTCGTCCAATCAGAGCTCAGCGTCAGACTGTTGTTTTTCTTTATGAGTGAAATGTATTTTTTTTTCCTCAGGAGCCAAAAATGACTCGATCGAAGTTGAAGGAAGTGGTGGAGAAGGGCGTGGTGAGTTGAAGACACGCCCACCTGTCGCTGTTGGACGACTTCCTGTCTGACTTTGTCTGTTTCCTGTCAGGTGATTCCAGCCTGGAACATTTCCCCCATCAAGAAGAGCAGTGAGATCAACAAGGTGAGGTCAAAGGTCAACCGCCCGTTGACATTTGAAACCTCTTGTTCCGTTAGCTAAAAGTCAACGTGTGCGTTCGCAGCCGCCCCAGTTTGTGGACATCCCTCTGGCTGAAGAAGATTCCTCTGACGAAGAATATCGTCCTGATGAAGAGGACGAGGACGAAACCGCTGAAGACGTGAGACTGTGCTCTGATTGGCTGCTTGTCCATGTCTAGTCTGGTCCAATCAGAGCCCACTTGTATTTGTCGTTCAGCTGCTGATAAAGGTCTACGTACTTTATGTTCTGGCTAACCTTTAGCTTTAGCTAACCTTTAGCTTTAGCTAACCTTTAGCTTTAGCTAACCTTTAGCTGTGTCCAGTCTTTGGGGGGGGGGGTGGGGGGGGGGGGGGCCTAGTTCTAACGTCTGTGTCGGGTCGCGACCCACAGACGTTCCAGGAGAGCGACATGGAGAGCACGGCCTCGTCCCCCAGGGGGAGCCGACTGAGCCGGGGGGAGGAGGACAGCTGCAGCCCCTGGCAGGTCAGACTGGTTAGATACCAACCACCCACCGCGGTCAGGACCGGGTCTGACCAGAGTCCTTCTTCCTTCAGGCTTCTCGACGACGATCCAGGAAACTGAGGAGTCCGTCCGTCTCCATGGGCCCCCCCCCGGCCCCCCCCAGACCCACTGCTCCCAAGTCAGTGACCGACAGCAGCTTTCTGGAGAAACTTCACGCAGTAGAAGAAGAACTGGCAGTGTGTATGGAACCATACCAGGTAAGACCTGGTCCAGGTCCTGGTCCAGGTCCTGGTTCTGCTTTGGCTCGTCTCTGATTGGTTCATTAATTCTCCCTGTCAGCCACTGTCAGAGTCGGAGGAGGAGGTGGGCCTGATGGCGTACAGAACCCGCTCCAAACGTCCGTTACGTAACGTGCCTCTGGGTCAGCTGGAGGCGGAGCTTCGAGCTCCTGACATCACACCTGACATGTACGACTCCAGCTCCACCCCCGAGGACAGGGAGTGGACTGATTGGCTCAGGAGTCTGATGAGCTCAGAGATGGACAACGAAGGTGTGTGTGTCTCTGTGTGTGTGTGTGTGAGAGAGAGATAGAGAGAGAAACTCCCCCTCTCTCTCTCTCTCTCTCTCAGACGACGACGACGACGACGACCCAGAATACAACTTTTTGGCCGAAGTCGATGAACCAGATTTTGAGGATTACCGTGACGACAAGGCTGTCCGCATCACCAGTCAGTACACACACACACACACACACACACACGATGATGATGATGATGATGATGAGGGCGATGACATCATCACCTGTCGTCATGTTCTGTGTTTCCTACAGAGAAAGAAGTGAACGAGTTGATGGAGGAACTGTTTGAAACGGTGAATGTCACTGATCAGCTGAGGGTCGTGTGGGGTCACGGGGTCACAGGGTCATCATCTGTGTGTGTGTGTGTGTGTGTGTGTGTCAGTTAAAAGAAGACCTGGCAGGACAGGAAGTAGAAGATGAAGGCCATGAGGAGGAAGAGGAGCCGCAGGAGGAGACACAGCACACTGTTGAGGAGCAGCACATGTACGGAGAACACACACACACACCTGACCCCTGACC